ATGAGCCTTCTTATCAAGATCCAACGGTTAAGTGCTAGCTTGAGACATTGTGAGACAAGCCATCTACTCGAATATGATGGCTGAGACTAGGATCACATATACCATTTATGTGGATGGAGTCGTATAGAGAGCCCTTTCTGTAAGTAAAGCCTCACCTCCAAACTCATGGAAAATTGTAGAACTAACATCATAAAACCTTCAAGCCGATTATCTTGACCTTCACAATCATGGTTGTGAAAAAAACTTGGGATTTCAATCCTTAAAAATAGGGTAAGTTGATAAGCCGTCCAAACCGTCTTTTTTTCAAGTGCTTATGGATAGGTAAGATTTGTTTCATTTTTTAACTACAATTGTTATAATCAGTAACGGAATTGTTTTTAAAACCGTTATAGAGATTTCCAATGTCCAAAGTATATAGAGATTTCCAATGGCCAAAGTATTTCCTGGACGAGGTTTCGAGATAAGGCTTTCTTTTCTTTCCTTTTTTCATAAGCCCTAGCCTCATAGAACCTGTACGCATTTGTTAATACATACCTGAAGGACGTCACCAGCAACAATGATGTAAGAGTCGGGTATGGGCTTAATCCTTAGCCACTGACCGTCCGATCTTCGATAAGCCTCCAATCCACAAACCTCATCAGTGGTTAAAAGGGTGAATGCACTTGGATCTTTGTGAGGTCCTTTGCCCAAAGCCAACTCTGGGTCACTGCAGGGTGCGTAGTGATTAGTGCGAATATAGGTCATGCCCTCTTCGAAATAGGGGTGCAATCGATCAGATGGGAGACCCAAGCTGAGAGAAATGAGCTCCATCAATTGATAACTCAACTTTAAGCACCCTTGGGCGAAGTCCTGGCATATTTTCCTGTAGGAGAGGAGAGAAGTGAGCATAGTGAGAGAAATCTCTTCTCTCGTTTTCTTTTCGGGGACCAAAAAAAAAGAAAAAAGAAAAATTCCCCCAAAAAGGATCAGATCCGAGTGTTTAGAAAATCGAAAGAGAGAAATCTCCTCTTTTTCAGCGAAGCTTTTGGTAATCTAGCATTCGAAGTGCACATAATATAAGAGCACACTTAAAATGTTCTAGCTTAAAAGACATCACTGTTTTTGGACTCGGCCGAGGTGACTCGAAAAATCCAAAAGAGAGTGAGCTATGTACTTAATTACATTAAAGAAAGGGAGATGGAGACGATGAGCATACAATTGAGAGAGAGAGAGAGTCTATTACTTGTAATCCTCTGGCTTTTCCGGCCACATGTTCCTTATTATCTTGGTCTCCTTGCAGTCTGGCTCCATGTTCTCCGGTACCTCGAGCTCCTCCATCGCCGCCATATTATCGTAAACTTCAACCCAATCCATGGTATTCTTGGTGTGGTCATGATCATTGTAACCCCAAGGGTTCCTTATATCTCTAGCTACCTTCTTCTTCTCCTCATGTGGCAAAGCGGAGAAACCAGCTATGGCCACCTTCAGATTAGACCAGAGATCAGGCGACAGACCATGGTTAACTACTATAAAGAAGCCCCAGTCTTTGAAGGCAGTGTGCACTTGTTTAGCAATACTAGTCATGGCCTCCTCCTTGGAGGAATTTTGGGGCAACTGAAGTGGAGCTAGGTCGATTATTGGGACATTTTCTAAATATTTGATTGAATCTGGGGATGGACGAGCCTCTACGGGTTGAATTAGAGCTGCATCAACAGAGGGAGCCATTTTCTCTCGATGCTCTGTAAGTCTAATCAATGGATGATGCTTGATGCTTGGTCTCTTGATTCATGGCGAACCCCGCTCACCTGTTTATAGGCCCTCGGCCTCTTTCTTTTTTTTGCCACGATTACAAAAAAACCCACAGAGTGCAGCCAAATTTTTTTTCTCATTTTTTACCTCAAATTTAATTTCCCGCAGATATCCTAAATCAAATAAGCCATATTCTTTTTTCTTTTGACAAAAATGCCAATAGTACGAAACAACCCCATTTATACCAGTCTGTCCCCATTTTGTGCTATAACATCTGCCCAAAGCGCCGGACCGTCTGTATTTTGTATGTATCAAACTGTATTTTGTATGTATCAAACTGTATGCTTTTCAAAAACAAAGTGCCGAACCACCCCATTAGTGCTTGACTACATATTTTTCAAAAGGTATTTTGGTCTTCATCTTACCTTTTTTTTAATACTTCAGGGGTATTCGTTAATAAAGCTAACTTTCAGGTGAAAAGGGAGAAAGAAAAGTTTTGAGTTAGTTGCATAAAAAACCTGTAATTGGGCTACTTTAATTTTGTACTTTATTTATTGCTTGGAAATGGGGTATGATTAGAAGCCAATATACGGTATCAAATAGTTGTTTGTGCGTGTCAAAAATATTGCACAGCCATCATGCATAGGGATCGAAAATGGGCCTACATGGATTCTCAACGAACACACTCTCTCTAAGTAATTATAAATAGCCACATTTATTTCTTTTAACGCCATGTTCTCTTTCACTATCATTTTACATGCAAATTATTTAG